CCAACCAACACACCTGGGCCGAGTCCCGCTCTGTTTACGCTCATTTGCAGCCCAGGTTATTAACACTGGGCTAATGTGACGGTGATATTCACATTAGCTCAGAGAATCTCGTCCATCCACTCCCCCCCTCACCCCCTCCCCATCCAGCTCTCATTCCAATATTTGCCATGTGCACTGTGGTTAGAAACGCCACACTCCTTACCTCTCTCTCGCTCCCTCCCTCCCTCCCTCTCTAAGCTACGCCTCCATCGCCTGCTCATTAGAGAGAGGATGATGGTCCGGCGCTCCCCCATGACTCTGCTCCACAAATAACAGAACCAATTTCCTGGCTGTTAGGCGGCGATTTCACACCAATCTGAGCTGCGCTGCCCAGTTTGGCCTGTCAAGGAGAGAGAGGGAGAGAGAGAGGGAGAGAGATAAAGAATAATAAGGTAAAGATAAAAAAAAGCAGGTCAGAGTGTGACATGTCTTAAACGATGAGAGTTTTTGTGTAAACATCCAGACCTTGTTCTCGACAGTCAACACCTGGGTTGCCAGGTTTACTGTCACAGTTTCATGGACTGAAGTGCAGTGGCTTCAGAAGCTTTTTCTGCAGTTCCTTCACTTTTCTGGACAGAACTTTGGACACCTTCACAGCCACAGTCCAACACTCTAATTTCAAACAAATAAATGCAATATAATCTGATGTTATTATTCAGCTGTTTAAATAAAAAAAACAACAACATATATATAAAACTGAATGAAAGATCAACACCATGCACTGGCTCCCTGCCTCCATAGGAACCACTGGTCTGAAAATCACAATTGTCACATTTATAAATAGTGTCTGCATATAATTTGTAATTGTCTTCTTCAAATGATCTTTTTAATCCACATTAAAATAATCCAAACCAACATCTAGATCATGAACAATCCAACTCCGACTCCTTTAAACACTGTTCACTGCAACGACACCTTATTGTCATCAAATTATTCCTAAAAAAAAATGGCCGAGGATTAATTGGGTCATTTTCTGCTGCTCCAATATGAGCTTTGAAAAACGTAAGCAGCCAATCACGTCACCAGAAATTATCACAAAGGCCGACAGTTAAAAACAATTAAAATGACAACCGACTGAAGACCCCCCCATATTAACCACAGACTCCTCATTATCTCCTGTAATCTGTAATCCTGTGAGTTAAACTTCAAAGACACTAAATGAACATTTTAGATATTTTTATCCTTAAGTATCAAGTGTATATTTGTGAGAACCTGTTCCTTTTTCCAACCGTCACCTCTGTGGTTTTTTTTCAGGCTCAGCCAGGCACAGTGACATTATACTGAGAGGCTTGTTTCAAATGGTTAATTCAATTTACCATATATAATTTCATCACATCATGAGCTTGACAAAGCAGTGAAGAGCATCGGCCTCCGTCGTTCTGCTTCAGTTGCACCGTAATGTCATTTTCAGCGGCACGCGGCAGACAACGAGGTTTCTGGTCTAAAAGAAAAAAAACAAAACAAAACCCAAGACATTTGGATGTCACACAGTTGAGAATGTGATCTAAGCATCAAAACATCCTGACAATTAGAGGTTGAATTAATTGTCACCAGGATGGTTTCATTTCATTTCGCACAGTCAGTGGTTGGAGCTCTTGCCTTACAGCAGGAAGGTCACAGGTTTGATGCACATAAACCGCAGTTAACGATTGTAAAGATCACAAGTACAGGATACTGGGTTCCTCGGTTAACGACGTCCTGGATCTACAGTCTTTAATTAACTTGAGCGGAATGGACAAATACGTCATCACACGGCAGTTTGTTTTCATTTACCAGTTGTACTTTGTTTGTGTTGGGGTTTTTTTGGGAACATTTTGCCCTTCATCATGGCTCCCAGGTGTAAGTCAGACTCAGCAGCAGCAGCAGTGGCAGCAGCAGTGGCAGCAGGAGGGTTTTTATGAGCTGTGCTCCACCACGCGTTCCTTTTGATGGACAGGCCCTTTGTCTGGTTGCTGTAATTTTTTTCATTTCATCTTAAGCAAACATTTGGAAAAAGTGTTTTCCTGTGAGTGTTTTCCTCAAGCTTCATGTTTGACTTGTATTCCCGTAGCCATTGGTGTTGTTTCCGGAGAGAAAATAAGAAGCAGAGTGAAAGCATGTTCTCTGGAAACTTACACAGATTCCAAAAACATGGAAAGAAGATTTCCGCTCGACTTTAATTTAACTGACCGTCTTGATGAGATACACTCAGAACCTGACTTTTCCACAGCGCCTCCTTCAGCTGACAGATATTCCAATTAGAAATTATTTCCCCTCCCTTGCCTTTGCAAACTGGAGCATCATATTTTATTCATCGCTTTGGCAAACTGTAAAAGTGAATTAACTTTGAGACGTGATTCCCACTGACGCCCGACGCCTGCAAACACCAACGCACCTGCAACTCTCAGAGCCATCGATTTTTAATTTACACCCAGGAAAACCTGAAGTTTATTCATTCTGTGGAGGAAGAGCGAGAAGCAGGGAGGGAGGGAGGAGAACGTGGGCCAGAAGGATCTGCAGTATGAGTGTGTGCAGTATTTTTATACAGTATATGTGTGAGTTTTCTTCTTTTTATGAGGATCCTTGTGCAGATGGGAAAGAGAACATATACTTTCGTATATGACATTTGATTGTTTTCTTGATGATCGGGAAAATTTAGACAATGTTTTCATATTTGTAAAAGCTGTACAAATTATGCAACCTCACTTCTTCACTTCTGACCAATGAGGAATGAGGCGGCGGCGGTTCTATGACTGATGTGCTTGTCCCACGGTTACTTGATCAAGAACTGTAGATATGATACGTTATGATGTGATACCATACCGTACCATAACATACCGTACCATTGCTTACCATATCATGCCCAGCCGTGGCGTACCGTACCATACCGTACTGTACCATATGATGTTACATAATGGTGTTCCAACCGGTACTATTGTCATTTTCCACCAGTAATTTGTGAAATAGTTCCACTCTGGGACAGTACCTTGATGGACTGACAACGTAACTAGTTGTTCCTCAGGATGGAACTAACAATGAAATGACACCAACTTTTCACAGGCACATTTTAAACCCCCTCTCTGTCTTCAATGCTGACTTTGATGTTGATGTTGACTTATGATCCTGATCCTGAGAAATACAGAAGTCCAGGATCCTCCGAAACTCCTAACAGTCAGACCGGCTGTTGACAGGCTACCACACCGTAGCGCTGCGTGCTAATGTGTTGCTGTGGGAACTAAGATGTGTGCAGCCATTCTGCCTGCAGCTCTGCTGCCTCCACTCGTGTTCAGACACTTCCCACCTCATTTCTCTCACACTGTTGAGCCGTAATAGGCTGCATGAGTGTCTGCACGTACACTCCTGTAAATGGATATCCATCTAATAAGAAGAGCTTATTTTCAGGCTGCAGCTTTTACGGAACGTCCTATTCTTAAAGATTATAGTTTGGCTGATTTATTATTTTCGGAAGTAACAGCGGCAACAGGAGTAAGAAACTCCTTGCAACCTTTATCCTAACAGCTCAGACTTCAGACATACAGTATTCCTTCAAATCTGTAGGAAGTAAAAACCAAAACAGTTTAAGTAATTTATGTCCGACAGTAACTTTTTGCCGATATCCAATATGGTGATTTTGTCCGAACACTTAATTTCTGATTTTGATATCAATCGATATAGGAATGGGAATATTTATTTATTTATCTGTACAAACCACTGTATGAGTATGAGATTAATTAAATGAGCTGCAATGCTGCCATCTAGTGGTGTTACCTTTAATATACAGCTGTTTTTCCCCAAAACAATTTTCAGGTCACCCATCATTTGGGGAAAACCTTATCAGGATTTCATTATCGGAGGAAAAAAACGATAACAAATTTGACATATAATACATAATTATGCTAATATAGAGCCAATAATATCGGTCGGCCGATATTATCAGACATCCCTACTAATGACACATTAATCTCATGTGTCCTCTCTTCCTGTATGTCTAGGTTCACTCTCTTCCTCCATGTATACGCCTGTGTGCAAACACACACACTCACACATACACACACTCATCTCTCTGTGCTGAGCAGAGCTTCACTGAATTAAGATGACTGCGGCTGATGCTCTTCCCAATCGCCACAGATTGGGCTTTTGGAGTGAAAATCCTCCAGGGAAGCTCTAATCCTCCACTGTCGGGAGCAATTTTTATTCCATAAGCAAAGCTTTCTCTCTACATCCCTCTCCCCCCGCCCCCTCCTCCTTGCTCTATCACTCTATTTATAGCTCTCTTAAGCTGCTCCGTGTGCCACTGTTTACATTTAGAGCCCCCACTCTTTAGATTTAGACCCTCGCTGCCTGCCCCCCCCACCCCCACCCCCCCCGGTTCCCAAGCAGCAGAGTTGCGTGAAAGCAGGAAATCTCTATTGACCGGCCGCGCTCACATGGAGCCGGGGGGACGAGATGGACAGATAGGGAGATTACCAAGAAGACAGCAAGACAGATAGTGGTGTAGAGAGGAGGAAAGACAAAGGCGGGGGAGATGTGAAGTGACATACAGATCCGAATGTTTATTCCAGGCGTCAGGCAAGCTGTCTGTGTTTGTGATAGAGAGAGGAAGGGAGGAGGGGGAGGAGGAAGGACAGGCTGGATTTGAAGAAGAGTCGGAGGATGGATGTCTTATTTAGACAGACTGATAAACGGACATTTTTCGCACTGGAAACTGTTGAGAACATGTGATGCCTCCAGTAGTTTCTCAGCAGGATGAGTTGGATTGTTATGGTAACCAATAAGAGCCAGTTAAATGCTATTATTAGAGCGAATTATGTCATTCTTCAAGTTGTGAAAAAAACAAGGTTTTTATGAACTGCTTTATTGTGATGAATGTGTGGAAAACAAGTTGAAAAACTGAAATAAAAAAAATCATTAAAGTATGAAAATAAAATGTATTTCTCCACATGTCCTCCATTAAGGCCTAAAATAAATATGAAATAAAATATGATTATATTAAAAGTTTTAACATTTTTTAAAACAATGGAAGAATTTTTGACAGAGTTTTAGTAGCAGACTTGTGCAGCCATTCCTCAAAGTTGATGAGTTTGTTTGATTTTTGATGTATAATCTTAATTGTCTCGTTTTTGTTGTTTGCTCTCTCGAGAGTCTTCAGATGTTCAAGGTGTTGAAAAGTGAGATGTTGCCAAACCAGCGGAGACAAGAGGAGTGATCCCTGAGGTCAGGAGGTCAGTGGGTTTTTTCTGCCTTTAGAAGTGTTATTATGTTCAAAAAACCAAACCAAAACAAAACAACATGATGCATTCCTGTATGATGCAGCAGATTTGAAAAACAAAGAACTAGTTAAAGGATGGATTTGTTCCACCTGCTGTGATGAGAATGAGACTTAAAAAAGAAAACAAACTCAAAACAATGAAAATAGTAACAGAGGTAAAGACTTCTGTTTGTGTTAATGAATGTGTGTTCGTTTTTCGGGGTTGGTGTCGATGTTTCTTTGTTCCTGGAGGGGAGGCCCACAATGTTGGCCATATAAAAGCCATGTGTGTTACTGAAATATCACTGGCCTTTGAAGAACAGACGTTCTTCCGTGCGCTTCCTTCACACACCAACACAATTCTACCAGGATTCTTCGCAGAGCCAAAGCCTCTGGTGTTTTTTGTGTGGAGCTCATGTTGCCCCCTACAGCTGAGTAGTAGTAGTTTAAGGCGGCAGCTAACATTTAGCTCATTATGTAAATGCTAATCATCAGCTGTAGCTCAGACCCGGGGCGTTTCAGAGACTCCGACACAACTGGGCTGGCGAAACTAGCACACGGCATTAATGATTCCAGCCCGTAAACAACCTGATTTATGGATTACAAAGCTGTGCTGTGATAATCTGTCACTTCTCATCCCTGAGCGCAGCAAAGCAGCGCTGATGTAAACTGGTTATGTCATTTAACGTGATGGAGCGGTGTAGTCCTCCGTGTATTTTACACTCAAATGAGGCACGTTCACGCCTGTGCTTCCTGCCTGGTGTCAATAACATCATCAGAAGTGGGGCTCACAGCTGCTCTACCTCCAATGTGTGTGTGTGTGTGTGTGTGTGTGTGTGTGTGTGTGTGTGTGTGTGTGTTTGCAGAGTAAAGAATGGGATTTGGACAGTATTTGCTCCCAGTTTCCAGCCCATTGGTTTTAAGATGAAGTGGTCGTTTGAACCTCACACTCACTGACTCTGAAGAGTTCATACAGCAAAAAAATAAAAATGTCGTAACGTCTGGAACATAAACAATTGTGATCTTTAAAAAAAAGAGAGAGAGAAATTCATTAATAAAAAAACTGGACCCTAAATCACTCAGTAAGACTGGACGTGTCAAGGGTCTTATCCTTCAGATTTGCATTTAAAAAAAAATAAGCTTGCAAAAAAAAGGCCTAAAGTTAATGTAGATCCTTGCCTAAAACCTGCACAACACTATATGTAACAAACCAGGCGTTCAACTTCTCAATTAAATGACCTTTATAGAAGTGTCAAGGTCTCGGGGTCAAAGGCCTCAGTAGCAGCAGCAGCAGCAGCAGCAGTGTTTCTGTGGCTCAACACAGGAGGTAATTTAACCTCTGCTCATTAGCTCCTCCTCTGGCAGCTAAGAACTCTGATTAGCAAAAATTGATTGCGATCAATAATTCACACCTCTGCTTGAATACTCAATGTGTGGAGCTTTGAACCACACTTTCTGAAGTGTTGGCGCAGGAAAACTGGTCCAGACAGGGGCAGCGTTAGTGGAGACCCTAACACACACACACGCACGCACACACACACTGAGGTGATAATGAGTGTTTGTCATTGTGTCCCTGCTCCAGTGTGTCACCAGTGTCACCGAGCTCCTGTTGAATATTTGATGTTTCAGGTTGATGGTGGCGTCGACCCCAGGCCGCGGCCACATCCTGCAGCTGCTGCATTGATCAGACTGGCCACCGGCTGCTCACTCATCTGAGAGTAATAGAACTATTGAACCACGCTCAGAACACGGGCGGAACCAGAGGAGAGACCGTGAACTCGTGTTAACACACCAACGATTCATTCATATGAGCCGACTGTGGTTTTGTATGAAGAAAAGTGGTCTGGGGGGGGGAGGGGGGCACACGCATGGTGGAAGAGTTAGTGCTAGTCAGTGCCCTTGCCTTACAGTGAGAAGGTCTTTGGCTCGAGTGCCAGTGATCTGACGGTCTTTCTGATTGTTCTTGAGTTCCTACAGTTTTCCTTCGCCGCAGTTCAAATGGATGCGAGGACCTGGGGAGCTGTCCAAGGTGCTATTCCATCCTCGCCCCCCGTTCACTACAGGATTGGCAACAGCTTAAGTCTGACCAGGATTAGGAGGTAGAAAATAATCAGATAAATAAATGAACACGGTTTTTAGAAGCTTAAAAATGATGGATGTCGATGAAGATTATGACGTAAAGACTGAAGTAAAGACTTTTAAGAAGAAAAGTACTTAAATAAGGCAGTGAGGGG